ATGTCCCGAAAGTTTGATTTTCAAGACTTGGCCACAGTTACTCTTACTCAGACCTGTAGTGCAGTGGTGACTCGACCAATAGCGGAAAAGCTGTCTGACCCAGGGAGCTTTACAATTCCATGCACTGTTGGAAATTTTGCTTTTGCTAAGGCACTGTGTGATCTAGGGGCCAGCATCAATCTTATGCCCCTGGCAATTTATAAGAGGTTGGGCATAGGAAGAGCTAGACCCACCTCTATGTTGTTGCAGCTAGCTGACAGGACTGTGAAACGACCCTCAGGTATCCTGGACGATGTGCTGATTCAGGTAGGGAAATTTGTGTTCCCTGCAGATTTTGTGATCCTAGACTATAAGGTGGATGAAGAGATTCCCATAATTTTGGGAAGACCGTTCCTGGCCACGGGGAGAGCTCTAATTGATTGTGAGACTGGGGAGCTCAAGATGAGACTGAACGATGAAGAAATAACATTCAATGTGTAGAAATCTATGAGGCGACCAAGTGAATTCGCCAATTGCTCTCTTATTGATGCCGTGGATGTAATTATAGAGACTGATGATGAAAGGCTGACTATTGAGGACCCCCTTGCTGCATGTCTAATGAATTTGGATGAGGTAAATGGAGAGGATCTGGCGGAATGGATGTTGGCGTTAGAGGGTAGAGGGTTCTGGGATAGAACCCTAGAGTTTGAGCCCTTGCACTTGGAAAATCGAGAAACTCCTCCAGCCAAGCCATCCATCGAAGAACCGCCAAAGCTGGAATTAAAGCCATTGCCCGCCCATCTCAGGTATGAATTTCTTGGACCTAACTCCACATTACCTGTTATTATCTCATCTAGTTTGTTAGATGTGCAGGCTCAACAACTATTGCAGGTACTTAAGGAATGCAAGACTGCCATTGGGTGGACCATGGCAGACATAAAGGGGATCAGCCCCGCCTACTGTATGCACAAACTTTTACGGGAAGAGGGACACAAACCTTCCAGAGAACACCAAAGAAGGCTGAACCCCAATATGAAGGAAGTGGTGAAGAAAGAAGTAATCAAGTGGTTAGATGCGGGAATCATTTTCCCAATCTCTGACAGCAGCTGGGTTAGCCCAGTTCAATGTGTTCCTAAAAAGGGTGGCATGACGGTAGTTAAGAATGATAAGAATGAATTGATCTCTACAAGAACCGTCACGGGCTGGAGAATTTGCATGGACTATCGAAAGTTAAATCTAGCCACCTGGAAAGACCACTTCCCACTTCCCTTCATTGATCAGATGTTAGAGAGATTGACAGGGAGGTCACATTTCTGTTTTCTGGATGGGTACTCCGGGTACAATCAGATCTCCATTGCATCGGAGGACAGAGAGAAGACCTCTTTCACTTGCCCGTATGGCATTTATGCCTTTCGGAGGATGCCCTTTGGCCTATGCAACGCACCCGCCATATTCCAACGGTGCATGATGGCCATATTCACTGACATGGTAGAGGATATAATGGAGGTGTTCATGGATGACTTCTCAGTGGTGGGGAACTCATTTGATGAGTGCCTGATAAATCTGACTCGTGTGCTGAAGCGGTGTATCGAGACTAACCTGGTCTGAATTGGGAGAAGTGCCATTTTATGGTACAAGAGGGCATAGTCTTGGGACACCAGGTGTCAAGCAAAGGAATTGAGGTGGATCGTGCTAAGGTGGATGTGATAGCAAAGCTACCCCCTCCAACTTCAGTCAAAGCAATCAGAAGCTTCCTCGGGCATGCCGGGTTCTATCGGCGATTCATAAAAGACTTCTCAAAGATCGCCAACCCTCTCTGTAAGTTGTTAGAAAAAGATCACCCTTTCTTGTTTTCTGATGATTGCAGGGTAGCATTTGAGGAGCTGAAAAAGAGGCTAGTCACAGCACCTATCATAGTTGCCCCCAACTGGGAGCAACCGTTCGAATTCATGTGTGATGCTAGTGACTACGCAGTGGGGGCAGTGCTGGGACAGCGGAAAGACAAGTTGATGCATCCAATATACTATGCTAGTAGAACGCTGAGTGGAGCCCAGCTGAATTACACTGTGACTGAGAAGGAGATGTTGGTCATGGTGTTTGCTTTCGACAAGTTCCGATCATATCTGATTGGTTCCAAGGTAATTGTAAATACTGACCACGCAGCTCTCAGGTACTTAATTGAAAAGAAAGAGTCTAAACCGCGCCTGATTCATTGGGTGTTGCTGTTGCAAGAATTCGACCTCGAAATTTGTGACCGTAAGGGCACAGAAAATCAAGTCGCTGATCATCTATCACGACTTGAAGGAGCTGAAAAATCAATCGAGGTCGAAGAGATCCTGGAAACCTTTCTAGACGAGCAGCTGCTCGCTACTAATCTTGAGGAAGCGCCATGGTATGCAGACATTGCTAATTACCTGGCCAGTGGTATAGTTCCTCATGACCTTTTATCTGTCCAAAGAAAAAAGTTTTATCGTGATAGCCGCATGTATTATTGGGACGAGCCTTATCTGTTTAGAATATGTGTTGACAATATGATCCGGAGGTGTGTCCCCGAGATATAACAATCTTCTGTTTTGCAGGCTTGTCAGGCATCAACATATGGAGGACATTTTGGAGGGGTCAGGACAGCTGCGAAAGTGCTTGAGGCCGAATTCTTTTGGCCAACAGTGCTTAGAGACGCGCACCTATGGGTGAAG